GCTCAGGCCCTCCCTGGCAGAGGCCTCTCCGTGCCAGCAGCTGCTTCTCGCCAGCTGCAGACATGAAGGCAGGGGTGGAGTGAGTGCGGACACACTGCCCACTGTTTCCCTGGATGCATTCCTGAAAACCATGTCATGGAAACCCCACCAAACCTCGTCATGTTCTTGTGTGGCAGTATTACATATGAGGGCTGCAATTCAGTCAGAGGCTTTAACACCACATCAAGCCTAGCAATGTCCAGGGTTTAACTAAACCCCATGGGAACATCATCTCTCTCTAAATATCTCCAATTTTAAGTGCTAAACATACTGCCCATAATCTCTAAAAGAGGCACATGTGGATTATAGAAGTCGACTATTTGAAGGGCCAGTTACCGTTAAGTACAGTGGTGTTGATTAATAATAACAGCTAACTTGTATGGAGAGCTGACCTTGTTCTGATAGTGTTCCAACCACTCTACGTAGATTAACTTATTTTACCCTCACAGCATCCCTGTGCATCAGTTTTATCATTCCCTCCTTTCACAAATGAGGAGACGGATGGAGAAGTGGTGCGATGTAATCAGCTAATGAGCGTAAGAGGGAAGCTGGTATTCAAGTCTAGGCAGGCTGGCCTCGGAGACCTTGTCTCTCGTACTGTGATAATGTCCGCTGAGCTTTCACTATGTGGCCAACCCTGTTCTAAGTCGCTTATATGTATAAACTTATTTAATTACCAGAACAAACCTATGAGATCAATAATATATTCTTCCCATTTTCCAGATGAGGGGCCCGAGGCAAAGGCTGGTGAAATCACTTATCCAAGGATGCCTCGCAAGTCAACACTGGAGTAAGAGTTCAAACACCTCTTACTCTGGAGCCCACACCCTTAAACACTAGTCTACTCCATGCCATGCAAGTGCTTTGGAACAGGTTGTAGGAAAAGTAGGGCCCAAAGGTCAAATCTGGCCCACCACCTGGTTTTGTAAATAAGGTTGTATTGGAACACAACCTTGTTCATCCATTTATATTTGGCTATCACTGCTTTCATGTGACAATGACAGATTTGAGTTGTTACAACAGAGACCATGAGACCCATAAATGTGGGTCCCATAAACAGTCGACTTCTATAATCCACACTATCTGCCCCTTTACAGAAAATGTTTGCCAGCCTCTGCTTTAGAACATAAGTACTTCTTTCTCAATCACCTTTCATCCATCACTCCACCACTCTGAACCCAGCCAGTGTGTAACTAATAGAAAATAACAAGCGACAATAGTTATAACCTTTCATACATCATTAGAAAATAACAGAAAAAAAAGATCATTTTTTTTAGAAACTTCAAGATGCATCTCACTAAATCCCCCGGGCATAACTAGGACAACATTTAGCTTGGCTTTTGCTCCTTGTGTCATCTTAAAAAGGAAAAGGCAGCTGAGGTTCTGAGCTCACTCTACAGAGAGACATGGACTCTGGGCACAGCCCACTCAAATTCAAGTCCTCGCTCTGCCACTTGCTGGCTTCATGACCTTGCACTGATCACTTAACCTCTATTAGTCCCAGGTCCACCATCTACAAAGTGAGGATAACAGTACACTTAACTCACAGGGGTGTCATGACCATTAAGTGAGTTAGTGTATTCAATTTTAAGATAAAGAACTAACTCCCATGGAGTGGTAGTTATTTTTCTTTCTCTTCAGGTTCTTTGAAACACGGATTCAGAGATAAATAGAATAATAAGAGTTGAGGGGCCTCAGTATACTAGGAGAATTATCAATGCTTATTAGATATTCCCCTACATTTATTATTTGTAGCATGCTCTGTAAATAGGTGAATAAAATGGCAGTGCTCTCTGACAATGTGAAGTATAATACAAAGCTCATAATTTTAGCAGAAAATGACAAATTAAATACCTTCTCAAGGGCCAAACGCAGTATGTCAGCACAGAGCCTCATGTAGACAGGACTGCCAGGGGGCTGTCCCCCGGCTTCTTCTACCTCAGAGCATGTCAGCTGTAAAGGGCAGGGCCCCCTGACTCCTTTAAGATCCCTTTATGTGGGGTGGCACCCAGTTCCAGTACATACCCTCATGGTTCCTAGGTGGCTTCTTTAACTTGGCGTTTATTAATGACTAAATGACTTAAGTATTTACTGGGAATGGTAATAACTATCTTCAATCTCTACAATAATAATTATTAATTATCATAATATACATATAAATGATAAACTATGAAAAATTGATACTAAGTAGAAGTTACTGAAACCATGAGCCTGGAAATGAAACTGTCTTGAATTCATAGTCAGCCTCTATCCACTACAAAATGTGAACTTGAGCACTTTACATATCTTAACCTCATAAAATCACAAAACTAATAGTACCAAAGTCAATCGCTCAGTCAGATATTTGACAAGCATTTGTTGAATTATTATGTGCCAGCATAGTGGGGTGGAGTGTACAGCAACCATATAGCAAACAAAACAACCCTGACCCCATGAGCTTTCATTCCACTTGTGAAAATTAAAAGCATTTAGTACAAGGTCAGGTGCACATTAAGTTTTCAGACAATATTAGATATCATTACCATTAATTGATGATGGAGGAGGAAGGCTTCAGACACTGGTACCTCATTGTGGAGCTGATAATAACACTGAACGTCTGTATCTGGGAAATATTTCCGGTCCATGTGTTTGTTTCCATCATGATCGTCTCCCACGTGAAGTGACCTAATCAAGAGCAAGTGTTCATTGGCTGATGGTTGTGAAGCATTAAGTTCCTTCTGATATATGCTGGAAATATTTCTGTTCTCTTAAAGGCCATTTCATGAATGAAGTAAAATCCATTCTTAGAAGAACAGAATATCAGCATTAGACTGAAATTTGTGCAGAATGATTAGGCGATTAGAAAAAAACATTTATAACGAGAGATATTTTTTAAAAAGGGTCCATGTTAGGAAAGGATATATGGACAAAGACAAGAGAGAGTGGATCAGTCCCTGTGTAGAAGTAGGAGTTGCAGGTGGGATGGAGGAGGCCCCAAGTCAGAAGAGAAAAGAGGAGTCTGGAAAAATCGCTTCCAAGCTGATTAGCCACCAGTGGGTTTGTGTTTATTTATATTTTTTCCTTAACTCTACAAATAGCTCCCCTCACAAAAGTCATTTGGGAAACTTATCTTTCAAAGTTCGTCAAGACATCAATGATTTAGTTATCTTCACTTAAAGAGGGTAATTTATCATCTAGTCGAATGTGCATGTGTCTGCCAGGAAAGCTGCGAGCCAACATACATCATACTCAGTAGCTTCAAGGATTTGGTCGGCCTTCTTATGTGTGTTTGAATACAGAATTCATTTCTGCCTGACATTTTTTACCTCTCATCATATTTTTCTTCTAATTAAGTTCTATAAATGTATCCTCTACCCAGTTTGAGCTGTAATAAATTCCTTTCCTGAATTGGCCTTCTGAAAATCACAAACCAACATTATGATGAATTGCAAAATGAAAAATTTCCCTTCCACTGTGTTTATTTTGAGCAGGGAAGCGCTGGAGAAAAGTGAAACAGTGCTTCACTGGAGAACGGCCCTGCTCATAGTGGCCACAAGCCTGTGAGTTGAATGTTTGCAGCGCTGGTTGACCCTAGCAGATTTCCAAAACTGTATAGGTCTAATGCAAGAAAGTGAATTTTCAGTTCAAAATTTTGAGGTTAAATGGTACTAATGGAAGGGATCCATAATGAGAAAAGTTTTAATCTGATGTTAGCCCTTGAGCTACCCATGTGGGTATAAACCAAGACCATTATTTCTTTGGGAAATTAGTTTCCTAAAGTCTATATTGAAGAAGAAAGGAACAAGGCCTTTCAGAGAATGTACTATGGGAGAAATGAATGTATGATTTGTGTTTTAAGTCATTGCTTCACTTCACTATGTGGGCAAGCAAAAGCATTATGCCGTAGATTTGAGATGGCAGTGTTGAAATTGAACAATTTGTTGCTAATCTTTAGGCTGGTATTTTAATAGGTGCTTAACATTGGGCACATTTGTTCCCAGTACATTGTAAGGCATAGATGAAACTCTATATAAATAAGATTAGAGCATGGCCATAGATAAAATATCAGGCATTAACCTTGTAGACTCTTGATTTTGGAATGGTTTAGCTCGGGTATTTGAATAGCCACGACGACCATAGTCCGGTTCAAATAATACTGCTTAATGCATTAATGGTTAATTTTACATACTTCTTTCTCATTTTCCCCCATGCCTTTATAGAGTGGGAATTGCCTTATGCATCCTGAATTCATTACTGTAATTTGTGTACTGTGCATTGACTGAAGCCAGTTTAAGTGGCATATTAGCACAGAATTTGAGCTCCTTTGCTTTGTGTAGATAGTAGGCCATGGAGTTAATGTCTCATTTATAGTATTTATTAAAGACTGTGATAGTGGTTATGATTCATGATCTTTTCCTGGATTAATGCCTGATTAAAGATTACTATAATATGAAAAGAATTTTTATTTTTTTAATAATAACCATGGCTACTGTTCCAACTATCCTAACACCAAATTTTTATTGTCATCAAATTTTTCTTCCTAAAACAGCAACAACAGAATTATTGTTTTCAACCTATGGACACAGACATTGGTATGATGAAGGCCTGAGGGTGAGGTCGATGCAGGGTGGAGGGGATCAATGGGGGAAAAAGAGGGACATCTGTAATACTTTCAACGATAAAGATAAATTTAAAAAAAAACACACAACAAATTAGACATGAGCAATTACCTAAACCAACCATCACATTTGACACACAAGGAATCTGAGATCCAGTAAAGTTAATTAGATTGATGGCAGTCAGAAAGCGATTAGTCTTCGAGCTATAGCCAGGAGGTAAAGTCTGATTCCTCTGAGCCCCAGACCAGCACCCTATGAACCGCCCTGCCTTTCTGATGTGGGGCAGCCACTGCCATTTGACTTATTCCGTGTGAAAGCATTCACTGTTATCGCCCCCTGACTCTCTCTTCTCCCCCTGCGCAGCATTGTCATGCACCCCAGCAAAGACATCCTAGTCTCCTGCGGTGAGGACCACCTCTGGAAGGCAGTGGAGCTCCCCAAAGGCAACGTGCTCCTCACAGGAACCGGCCACACGGACTGGCTTTCCAACTGCTGCTTCCATCCCAGGTCGGTGCACATAGTCCCCCAACCAGCCTAATCTCTCCAGGGACTGCGCTTGTCTATTGTTTCTTCACTCTCCTGGCTTTTTAAAAACAAAATCTGAGTAGTGGACAAAAACTGTACATGTTTATTGTATACAGCTTGATGAGTTTGGAGATAGGTATACATCCTTGAAACCATCATAACACAGTCTATGCTGTAAATATTCTATCATCTCCAAAGGTTTCCTGCCACCCACTTCATTTATTATTATCCTCATCATCAATAAAACACTTAACATAAGATCTACCCACTTAGCAAATTTTTAAGCATAAAGTACAACAGATCTCTAGGACTTACCTTGTATAAATGAAACTTTGTGCTTTGCTGGTTTTGATGACACTTTTTTTTCTCTGCAGCCTCACACCCCCACTGCATTTAGAAAAATGTAGATAAATGCTCCTTTGGCTTTCATTATATTGATTTTAGATTGATTGCCTTTGATAGTTGGTACCTGTAAAAGTTACTCCCATGCTGATGCATTTAACAGAATAAAGGGCTTCCCAGAAGAAGCGTTGTTAATGCTTCTTGTATTCACGAGCTCTGACAAGACACATGATTCCTACTCAGCAATGCATGCTATAGTTTGCTTTGCCTCAGTTTATCATGCAGGTTTTTCTTTTAGAATTAAGCTATCTACCAAAAAGGATCAGAAGGGAGTGATCAATTTTGTTAAAAATTCAATGACACTCCAGATTTAAAGAGATCAAAGTGGAACCAAGATCTCTGAGTTCTGTAATTCTCAGAATTCATTGAATTTTTGTACTTCAAAGGCCAAGGGCACAGAAGGAAACATATTGTTAAACACACAGATACATTAAAGCTCTTCCACAGTTGTTTGTAGTCAACTCCTGCCACTGTCCGGACTCTCTTGTCTTGCTGGTCACTGTACTCAACATTTGTAAACACTTGCACCTGCCTCTTTCTAACACTCTCTGGTCTTATTACTCTTGGTGACTCACAGTGCTGGTGCAATTTCTAAACCATTCCATTGGGAAATTGTGTTCTTAGGAGGACTCGGACTGATTTATTTCCATGTTTTCACAAAACTTTTTATAAAAAAAATTCTTATCTTCTTATCATTGTCAATGAAATTAGATAGGAATGAAGAAACTAAGTGAGTTACTGACAAGAGTGGACTAATTTTTTAGTTTTTGAAAAATTTTTCAAAGCCTAATTTATCTGTAGTGCTAGATGTTTGAATTTAACTTTTGAACATGTAGTGCATTCCATATCTGGTATGTAGAGAAACAGAGCCACACCACCTCTCATCTGTTAGGGATGTAAAGCTCATCTTGCCAGCAGAGACAACACAGTTAGAAGTGTAGCCCATCACTTACGGAGCTGCTGGGCATACTCATCAGATTTCCATAATGCCCTGTTACCATGGCAGCCGGTGACTCGGACATTGTCTCATTAGTGCTTGACCAGCACAGGGTTCTTTTAATAGATCTTCCTGTTTTCCCACTCAGTTACTGAAATTAAAATGAGGTGAAATACATCATTATTCACTCATTGTGAATTTACATTCAGTACTTTCTTTGGCAGAATTGTCGTAAAATGCAGCTATACTGTTTGCTTTTTTCTAGTGCAGGAGATATAACTACTGGGAGAAAATACATTTAACCATAGTGTTTTTAAGTGAGTGATATTAAATAGTAAATCCTCTTTTGTAGAATTAATGAAAAGGAATAAATGATTATCAAAACAACAGTAAAAATTCTTTTTTATTTGGGGTGGAGATTAATTTGTTTTTATTTTATTTTATTTTTCAATTACAGTTTACATTCATCATTATTTTGTTTTAGTTTCAGATGTACAGCATAGTGGTTAGACAATTATATACTTTACAAAGTGATCCCCCTGATATTTCCCGTACCCACCTGACAACATACAGTTATTACATTATTATTGATTATATTCCCTATGCTGTATTTTATATCCCTGTGACTATTTTTTAACTACTAATTTGTACTTCTTAATCCCTTCACCTTTTTCACCCACCCCCTTAACCCCCCTCCCATCTGGCAACCATCAGTCTGAAATCAATTGTGAAAGAGTTTATAAATCAGACCTCATTTTATAATGCTTAGTGTGTGAAATCAACACTGAAGACCATATACATGTAACATAATATATGTAATATATGCATATAATATATATTTATACAATGCTTATGTCTTAAAAGTTGCCGAAATTCATGCTTTCTAAAAGTTATATTTGTGTCATTTGACTTTTTTTTGGCTTAAGTAATTTAGTCAGTAGAAAAATAATTTATTTGTGAAGATATAATTTTTTTCTATTTCTCTACATGTTTTTTCTATAATTTAAAAATCAAACAAAATGAATTTGATTCAAATATGATACTTTAATTTGTAGTTATTTCTTTAGCTAATGAATGCAATGACAGCTTTCCCTTGAGCCCATCTTTGCGATCTGCTTGGTTCTGCCCTCTTGGAAGAGGCCCAGAGTAGACACACTGCATACTGACATCTGCTCTTCACAATGAAAAATAAAATTATACATTTTCTTTATTTTATTTTTAATTGTAATTGCTCCTAGTTGAGTGTTTTCTATAACTTTCAATTGTATGCATTCTTGATTACTATGACATTAGAGCCATTTTCTCTTCTGCCACAATGACATAACCCAGACTTCTCTTTGGGGGGGGGTCAATCCTACTTGATATGACTATGGTACACCTTGACTGACCTGAATCAGTCTTCCTTGTCCTGTTTCCCTTGGCCTACGAGACATCCTTAGGACATAAACAACAAATACAACACTCATCATAATATTAATTTTGGAAAAAGAAGACTGGCAGGTAAAAACTAAACTGATAGGATAACTATCCGCCAAGGATTTAGACAATATAATGTTAAATTATATAGAATAAGAGATCTTAAAAATATGTACAAGAAGATTCTGACAAAGCCATGGTCATCAAAGATTTCAAATTGTCTTTCTCAGTTTTTAATCTGTCAAATCAACAAAATTACAATGGAGTTAGAGGGATTAATAAACTAGTAAGTGTCCTTAATAGTATATGTGTTGGATTTTGTACTTTATAAAGAGAGAATACAAATTCTTTTAAATCACTCATTGTTAGATTTTTTAAAAAATGTATAAATCTCACACCAAAAATTTAGCATAAATGAATTCTTCATAACAGCAATTACATAAACCAATATTTGTGAACAAGAGTCATAATAAAAGAAAATGATGTATCAATTAATAAAATATAATAAAATATGAATTATTAAAAAGCGAATAAATGAATATTGGTCAAAGAGGAACTATAAACTGTTGTTACCTAGTTGGTAAACAATAACAACCACAATATTTATCAAACTTAAGATGTAACCAAAGCTGTATTCAGAGTAAAATTCATAGATTTAAATGCTGTATTATTAAACAAAAAATAAAAATAAGTGAATTGTGAATTCAAATTGAAAAGTAAAAATGGTCAATGAAGTACAAAAAACAAAAGAATGAATAAATAAAAGCTATAAATGAATAAATTAGAATAAATATATTAAATATATATTAATCCAAAATTTATTTGAGAGGAAAAATAATAAAACAAGAAATTACAATAAAATAAGTAGATACCTCAAAAAACTTCTCAAAAAATAAAAGTGAGAAACATAAATATAAACCTTAGCAATTTGGAATGAGTTAAAGCCACATACACAAAGACTAAAAAATATATATATTGGAATTTTTCATAAAATAATAGATTTCTGTAAAAATAAATATTCTGATATTGAATCAAGATGAAACACAAATCCAGAATAAATTATTAACATTGGGAAAAACTGAGTTTTGGAATTTCTACCTCGCATTCCCATCTTGAGCAGATATATGGCTGAGTTTTAAAAATTTTATTTTAAAAAAATCGTTCAATTTTTAGGTTTATTGAATTTTCAGGGGAAAAGAAAAATAAAAAGGAAATTTTAGTTCTTGTTTTACAAATATAGCATAAACATAATTCTAAACTAAACAAGTATAATACCCCTACCACAGCTGTAGTCGCATTTCACAATAATAGATGCAAAAGTCTTTAAAGGGATTTAGAAAATATTACAGTTGTATGTTTAAAGGCAATTTACAATGATCAAGTAAATTTGCACTTGAAAAGCATGGGATATATAAGTGACCTAATTATGAAGATACCGTAATATAAATTATATTAACAGATAGATATTGAAAGTTACTTTAAAATGGGGTTGTTAAGCCGCATGTTTTGAAATTGACAAGAAGCATGAATTTTGGTAGAATTGGGAACTAAGCAGACCTGGTAGGTGAAAGCAGACTCTGGATGGAGTTAGATGGGTCAAAAGAGAAACGCGTGCTTACAGGTTTGTATCTAAGTTTGTCTGTACCTTAGTAGGATTTATGTATCGAGACACTTTTTAGGAATAACGTGGGTAAGTAACTCAATCACTGTGGAACTGGCTATTACTGAATGCTTACCAGTAAAGGGCGTTCATACAATGGTAGGGTGGGGCACCCTGTGCATTTACTCGGTAGACTGATAAACTAGCTGTTGAAAGTTATTCATTAGCCACTGAATGTGATGAATGAGTGGAACAATACAGAGGACATGCATTGGCACCAACTTTGCACCGTTAAAAGAGCAAAATGCACAATGCTAAAAAGAAGGAACCTGAAGCACACTCCAGTGCAAGGGGGAGATATCTAAACAGTTAACACGTGTAGTCAGAGCTTCAGGTTCCCTTGTTAGAATCCTGGCTTTCCTTCTGCTAGACCTGTCAGTTTTCTCATCTGTGAAATGAGTGTAATAAGGACAACTACTCTGAAGGTCGATTGTGAAGGCTAAATGCTATGATATATGAAAAGCACAAGTAATTTTTCTGGGCAATAAATGTCACCCACTATTTTCTTTTTGTTCATCCATAGGAACTTTGAGAACTTAGAGATAGCTCAAAAATTGCTATAAAACT